TTCATGATATAACACTATATGCTCAAAAATGTAAATTTTGTATTTATATAATCTAAATACCACAAATCTTTCTATTAATGCATGTATTGAAGAAGAACTAGGACCCCTACCTCAAGATTGAAAGCTATGGGTGAAGACCCATCTTCAAACTTCAATGGAATCACAAAATAATCGGTAAAAGTCTTGATCCATGCCTGTTCTTCAACCTTCTTGAAACATTTGGGGTGAACCTTTGGTAAAAAGTAGAGAAATCAAGAGTTTGGAAGGTTAGGTTTTCGGGTTTGGAAGATGGGAGGAGAAGGGAGGGAGAAAAAATAAAATTTTTTGGGCCAAAAAGTCACTTTATAATGTTTGTTAGCGACTTGGTCGCTTGAGAGAAAGAAGCTTGGCTCGAGCGTAGAAAACAAGCTCTCAGATTCTCTAAAAAACGCACTCTTCGCTCGAGCGAGCATGCTTCCAGCACAGAAACACAAAATTTAAACAGTAATAACTCTCTCGTTCAGACTCCGTTTAGGGTCGTTCTTGTGTCCAAATTGAAGCCCCGAAAACAAGCTTTCCAATGGTTCTAGCCTCACATTCAAATGCAAAGTATAGAAAAATAAAAGGGCAAAAGAGTGACGGCTGTTCGTAGGAAGATTATCCGAATTAAAGTTTTTGGTCCAATCTTACTTTACCATCGTGTTACCACTTCGATCAAAGTCCCAAAATAAAACAAGGAGACTCCAAATACACTAATAAAAAATTCAAGGGCAATCTCACTTTTTACGCTCGAGCGGTACTTTCTGCGCTCGAGCGGCCCGCCTGCAAACACGCGAGATATTGAGAGCAACAATTCTACGCTCGAGCACCACTTCTTACGCTTGAGCGGTCACCTGGACAGACTGTCACACCACTACATTCTGCTATATATATAGTATAGATTTCCACTAACCTTTGATGAGATACAATGCTATTAAAAAATATCAAAATTTAAAATCAATTCACAATAAATATAGGGATCTCTCAAATATATTAACTAAACTTAACTTACTTATATAGATGACATGAGGCAAGTCTAATATTGTTATAAAAAATTGTGATATCAAATAGAAGAAATACATTTATATTTTATAATTTGAATTATAGAATAAGACATCATGTTAGAAATAATGTGATGATCGGTTTTGTTGTACGTCTTTTCACTCATTGTCTTCATTGGGCTCATTGCGCTCAGAAGTTTTTCTCAAATTCATGTCCTTGTTTATTTCGAGTTGAGTGTCACTTGTTTTGGAGGGTGCACTGTTGAGTCCAAAGTGTCTGGAATCGAACCGGAAAAGAATTCTGGGCTGGAGGACCAGGGCCGCGCGTGCGGAAGAGGGCCGTACGTGTCGTACATGCGGAAGAGGGACGCACATGCGGAAGAGGGCCTCACGTGCGGGAGATGAAGCTGCACGTGCGGGGAGGTGACGATTTTTCAACTTGCACACTGCATTATATGCAGGTGCGGAGTGAGGTGCAGGGAGGGACCACCGCACGTGTGGGGGTAAAGGCCGCACGCGCGAAAAGACGCTCCGCACATGCAGGAGAGGGCGCCGCACGTGCAGGCCTCTGGGCAATCCAAAAATTTGATTTTTCTCCTTCTTTGGGCTGTTTGTATATCACTTTTGCTGCATCTCTCTCTCTCTAAAAACTCTTTTGTCTTCCTTCTCTCTACATTTTCTATATCAAAACAAGATCAAATCCTTGATCTTTTTACTTCCATTAGAAATTTGCCCGTAGCTTCTTCATCAAAGTTGAAGAGCTCCTCAAGAGCTACATTATGTACGGTGGAGATTGGGTTTTGCCACCATTGATTTCAAGGGTTTCATCTCTTTTTCTTCTTCAAAACTTGAGGTAGGGACTTCTTTGAGTTATATATATGTTTTTGCTAGAATAAATGTTAAATTTTGGAGCTTCTTGATGATAATAAGAAAGTTTTGATTTTGGTTCAAGAATGTTATGAATTTTTCTTAAGAAGTGGGTTTAACCTTGTTTTTTTTTAAATAACCTCTTGAGGGTTGAATCACCTTGGGCAAGGAAATGATGTCCTCTCTTTTTTTTAGGGTTTCTTCCAAGTGTTTGGTGTGTGTATGTGTTGTTGTCCAGAAGAAACCTTGAAATTTGGGGATTTCCTTAAAAGAAAGAAGATAAGGGTACATGGTTGATATTATTATTATTATATATATATACATTGTTATGTGCCAAGATGAGTAAAGAAAATGAAAATTTTCTTGATTTTATACAAATGCATATATTGATGATGGGTTTCTTAACATATGAGAATTGTTGAGATTGGAAGTTGTTGTCCAAATATTGCTATAGTTTTGAAATGATGGAAATGTACGAATTGTGGAAATATTGTTATATATTGATAAATGGTAGCGAACTTTTGGTTATTTGTTGGAATGGCATTGAAAGGAGAATGGGGATTTTGACCATTATGGAACATTTGTTGGAGTTATCTTGAAAGTGGAGAAACATTATGTAGTATAGATAATTATTGCATTGGCTTTTCAAAAACCTTGCATATCATGAATATTGAATTGGAAATTTGGAATTTTCATTGAGAATGAAATATTGTGAAATGAGAATGATTGAAATATTTTGGGATAAATACGTTGGTAAGTCTGGATAGGTGGTACAGATGAAATTATTTAAGTTGGCCTGAGTGTCCGGGGTAAAAGACCGAAAACACGCTGTAGACGTCCCCGAACGCCTCGGGAGGGTGAGTCCCGTTCTGTTCATATTGGGCTCACTACAGTTCGGACTCTCGAATTGTCACGGTTCTTAATCTGAACCAAAGAGTCCAAATCCGGCAAATCATTTTAAGAAACAACAAGGCTCTTTTTGTTATGATTATATAATTTTTTGTAAGCCAAGGGCTATCATGTATGGGTCCGAGAGACCATTTTTGTGTAATCAGGCATAAGCCTTGGAACTTGTAAGTCCTTGAGGGCACTTACTTATTTTGGTTGAATGATTTTACATGCTATAAATTCATGTACTAGGATTCATTGAATGTATAACCGCATGTGAGATTATTCTGGTACAAACATTGAGACTATGTAATGGAATATGTTAGGGATATTTCTGGTATCTCTTAAGAGCCATGATTGTTATTATATTTCAATTGTGGGTTTTTTTTTTCTTTTTTGGGCGTTACAACTTGGTATCAGAGCTACCAGGTTTGAATACTTGGGGCTCGCGGGGAGCGGTTGTTTGCCACAGTGGGTTCATTTCGCATGATTAGGAAATGTCTTGTATTTCGTGACTATGTGATAACATGTTTATATAACTATATGGGTATGGGATTGGACTTTTGAGATGTTGTTTGCGCCTATTAAATTCCTTGAGGTCTTAATAGAAGGGTACTTGATCAATACTCGTTCTACTAAGAATTCTTGATTTTTCGTAGGACGAATCTCATCACAGAGGAATAATCCGTATGTGCTTACATGACTAAGTACTTATGTGGAATGAATTAAATTGTTTGTATGGTAGAAATTATATAGAATTGTTGTGGTTTGACATGTGAGAGAAGTCGCGAGCACATTTGAGATTATGTGCTAAATTGTTTACCTTGTTCCTTAATTAGGATGTCAAGAAAGGGTCAAACCCGTGGTGGTAGAGGTGGAAGGCATGGTAGGGTTCACCGGGGTGTGCATAAGGTACCGGTCCATGAGGTTCCGGTGCAAGAGGAGGGGTTGGGCCAAGCTAATATGGCCAAGCAAATGGGGCACGCGGAAATTCCAAGGCAAACAAGTCAAGCCGCAATGGGGGCCCTAGCCCGAGAAATGGAAGGGGCCTTGAGGGAATCGATAAACATACTAAAAGCAGAGAACCAAGCTAGAGAGAATGTCGTAGAAACAAGGGCAAGCTTTCTCACTAGGGAGTTTTTGCGGGCCAAACCGAATGAGTTCCATGGTGGCCCCGGGCCTAAGAAAGCGGATGAATGGCTCGAGCAGACAGTGAAGACATTTAAGATGCTTCACATCGAAGACAGTGAGCTTAGAGTGACTCTTACGAGTTACTACCTCAAGGGGGATGCGGGCCAATGGTGGAAATATGCCAAGGGCCGAATAGAACCGACATGGAAAGCATTTGTAATGGCTTTCCATGACAAGTACCTACCTCCCACTGCTAGGAAGAGGTTGAGGCAGGAATTTTGAGACCTTAAGTAGCTCAATATGTCTGTGGCCGAGTTTGAAGCGGCCTTCTCTAGTTTGTCTCGGTTTGCACCGGAGTGGGTAGCAATGGAAGAGCGCCCTTGCATTGAGTTTGAGAAGAAACTAAGAACCAAGATCTTGTTCAAGGTTGTCGGGAACATGATCCGGAATTATGACCGACTTGTGGAAGCGGCGGCACACGTAGAGATTACCGTGGAGGTCGAGGAAGAGAGAATCCGAAGTTCAAGGTCGAGGGGTCAAGGGTCACAAGGGGACTATAGACCCAACAAGAAGAGTAGAAACACCTTTTCATCCCAGTCCTAACCACAGCAGTCTAGATCCACCTTTTCTTTGCCTAGTGCGGGCCCGGGGAAGAGTGCACCGAGCGGGCTTTCTTGCTTCAAGTGTGGCCAGCCGGGTCACAAGGCCTTTGCTTGTCCACAGAAGGGAGGAGGACATCAGATGTTGCCACTACCACCACCTAACCTATCCCAGAGTCAGTCTCAGAGTAAAGGACAGGGACCTACTTGCTATCAATACGGTCAATTAGGGCACATGAAGAGAGCATGTCCGCAATTGGGAGGCGCATCTGGCGCATCATGGTCGAGGTAGACTCAGAGCCACCAGTAGGTTCACTTAGTTCAAACTTCGTGAGCTAACCATGGAGCCGCTTCGGCTTAATCAGTCCAGCAGGCCTATGCTCCAAGAGTTGAGGAAGTTGATCAGAGGCCACAGGGGCGTGTGTATGTTGTTACGGTGCCGGAGCAGTTGCCAGGATCCTCGGTTGTGAGAGGTATTTTTGTTGTGTGTAATTCTATGGCTAATATGTTGATAGATACGGATGCATCTCATTCATTGATATCTACTGCATTCGCATCTGCATTGGGGTTAGAGATGGAACGACTAGCGTCTCCATTTAGAGTTGAGTCACCAGTCGGGGGTATAGTTGACTTAGATCGGGGGTGTCGTGGTTTTGAGATAGAGGTTGCCAGGCTTCAACTCCCATTTGCTTTTGTATTGCTAGACATGTTGAGTTTTGATGTCATTCTAGGCATGGATCGGTTATCTTCGTACCGAGCAATGATCGATTGTTTTCGTCAGAGGGTTACAGTGTGCACCTCGAGTGGTGATTGTTTTTACTTTCTAGGGGACCAGGTTAATAGGGTCTTGTCGCCAGTTTTTGACCCTTGTAGTAGAAACGAGCTTAACGGCCTTCTTGCTACTCTCTTGGATAGTGAGGGTGACGGGACTCGTGTTGAGTTGCCAAGGGTAGTTTGTGAATACCCAGACGTATTTTCCGAGGATCTTACTAGTTTGCCACCCCACAGGGAGATCGAGTTTACCATTAACTTAGTGCCTAGAACAACAACAATTTCCATGGCGTCGTATAGATTTTCACCTGCGGAATCACATGAGTTGAAGACTCAACTCCAAGAGCTTTTAGACAAGGCGATTCAACTTAGCGGCCTTCTTGCACTCCCCAAGGTGATGTACAAGGGTTTCATTCGCTCTAGTACATCGCCTTGGGGAGTGTTGGCTCTCTTTGCGAAGAAGAAGGATGGGTCATTGCGATTGTGTATTGACTACCGTAAGTTGAATCGAGTTACCGTCAAGAACAAGTATTCTTTACCCCGAATAGATCATTTGTTTGATCAACTTAGAGGGTCTTGTTGCTTTTTGAAGATAGATTTGAGGTTGGGGTACCAACAATTGAGAGTCCGGGAGGAGGACATCCAGAAAGCGGCCTTTCGTACGCGTAATGTCAAGAGAGGGGGTAACTATAGCTTCTTCAAAGGTAGATGCCTTGCAGGATTGGGAACAACCCAAAAATGTTTTTGAGATCTGGAGTTTCTTGGGATTGGCGGGGTACTATCGGCGTTTTGTAAGGAACTTTTCTAGACTAGTCGTGCCTTTGACTAGATTGACTAGAAAGGGGTTAAATTTGTGTGGAGTGAGGCTTGTAAAAAGTCTTTCCAAGAGCTTAAGACTAGACTGACTACCACACCGGTGTTGATAATTCCAGAAAGAGGCTTGAGTTACACTTTTTATTGTGATGCGTCTTGAGATGGGCTTGGTTGTGTCTTAATGTAAGGGGGAAAGGTTGTAACTTACGGTTCACGACAATTGAAAACTCATGAGAAGAATTACCCCACCCATGACTTAGAATTAGCAGCAGTAATGTTTGCCTTGAAAATTTGGAGACAATATTTGTATGGCAAGAAGTTTGAGGTTTTCTCCGATCATAAAAGTCTAAAGTATTTGTTTTCCCAAAAAGACTTGAATTTACGCCAATGGAGGTGGATGGAATTTTTGGAGGATTATGACTTTGAATTATACTAAGTAGGAAATCCATGAGTAGTTTGGCGAGTGTGGCCATTCGGGAATGGGTTGTATTGGGTGACATTGGCAAGTTTGAATTGCACTTGGGTGAGTCTAATAAGGGTGCAACTTTGTTTACTTTGAGTGCTCAACAAACCTTGATTAGTAAAGTTATAGAGGCACGACAAGGGGACCGTGAAGTAGAGTCAATTCGTGTTAGAATCTCCAATGAGAAAGAAGAAAAGGGTTTGAACTTCCACTCGGATCTGAGTGTACGGTTCCTAGACTGTTTGTTTGTACTAGAATCTTATAGAGAGGAAATGCTTTAGGAGTTCCATCACTCACGCCTTGCGGTACATCTGGGAGGCACCAAAATGTATCGTGATCTTAGTTGTCAGTTTTGGTGGAGGGGTATAAAGCGGAATGTCGCTTTATTTGTATCGAAGTGCCTTACTTGTCAACAAGTGAAGGCCGAGCACCAAAGACTAGCGGGTTTGTTACAACCTTTACCGATAGCTGAATGGAAATGGAAGCACATTACCATGGATTTTGTGATTGGGCTTCCTAGAACACAGTGGGGCAACGATGCCGTTTGGGTGATTGTTGATAGGTTGACTAAGTCTACGCATTTCATTCCAATGCGTACCGGTGACTCAGTTAAGCACTTGGCAGAGTTGTACATTAGAGAGATAGTTCGACTTCATGGAGTTTCCGTAACCATTGTATCGGATAGAGATCCTTGTTTTACCGCTCGGTTATGGCAAAGCCTTCAAGAGGCATTGGGAACTAAGTTGACCTTTAGTACCGCTTACCACCCTTAAACCGATGGGCAGCCGGAGTGTACCATTCAAATTTCGGAGGACATGCTTAGAGCTTGCGTCCTTGATTTCAAGGGGTCTTGGGAAAGGCACTTGCCGTTGATTAAGTTTGCTTATAACAATAGTTACCAAGCTAGCATCGAGATGGCACCGTTTAAGGCCTTGTATGGCTGACCTTGTAGATCGCCGGTTTGTTGGGCCGAGGTGGGGAATGCACCGTTGTTGGGTCCGAAAATTGTTAGGGAGACAACCGAGAAAGTTACTCTCATTCAGAAGAGGTTGGCTACGGCCCAAAGCCGACAGAAAAGTTATGTCGATAAAAGGAGACGACTTTTGTCTTTTGAGGTGGGTGACCATGTTTTCCTTAAGATCTCACCTAGGCGGGGTTTAATGAGATTCGGTAAGAGTGGTAAGTTATCTTCGAGGTTTATTGGGCCTTTTGAGATATTTGAGAGAATTAAGGAAGTGACGTATCGGTTGGCTTTACCGCCACAACTTTCGAGGGTTCACAATGTGTTTCATGTGTCTATGCTTAGGAAGTATGAACTCGACCCTTCTCATGTGCTTGATTGGGTTGATTTGGAGGTAGATGAGGATGCCTCTTATGAAGAGCGA